GACTGCCCTGCTGGGAGGCTCCCAGAGGCCTCACTGAGCTGCAGGCTTCCTGCCTGCCCTCTTGCGGCCGGGGCTGAGCAGAGGCCAGCGCTGTCTCGGCCGAGAGGCCATGCTGGTTCTCCGCATGGAGGCCGGCCGTGGTTTTCGTCTATGACACGTCCACATGGTTCTCAGTTACCCGCGGTGATGCCAGTGGGCAAAACAAGCGGCGCACAAACGAGTGCAGTGTCCGCCTGCGCCCGCCCACCTCGCGTCCCTGCACTCCCGTCCCGAGACCATTGCTGCCCCTAGACCTGCCCTCTGCTGGCTCCCTCTGGATGCTTTGGACTGGGGGCGCAGACTCTCCCGCGCTAGCCCCGCCCCGCCCCACCCCGCCCCCTTTTTGTGGGGAACCCTCAGAACTAGAGGCTGGGTGCAGCTTCCCCTGAGCACCGGGGGGGTCCCTGCTGCCCGCAAGCCCGGCCCCTTGGCTTACCGTGGAAGGAGGCCTCGAGGAGCTTGCCCTCTCCGTCCCGCTGTCGTCGTGCACACGCGGCGCTGCAGTGGGCTTCTCCCACGTCCCAGAGCGCGTCAGGGGGCTGTTCTTAGCATCCGCTTTTCATCTCCATCCACCTTTTTCCTTTAAAATCTTCAAATCTGCAGAACGTGATGAAAGACTGCCCTCTTCCCCAGACGCACTGATCTTTAACCATTTGGAACCCCTCCCGCGGCTGAAGTGTAGAATGTTGTCGAGAACTTAGTTCTCCACCCCCACCCCACCCCGCCTCCACTGCGTCTTCTGCACGTAGCGCATCCGCGCCTCCCCATCTTCCCCCGACAAAGCTGCAGTTTCCTGGTGTCTCCCAGACCCGCTCAGACCTCCCCAGTTATCTCAGCTGTGTGCTTCCAGTCCCCTGCCCCAGGGATTCAGTGAAGGTTCACACGGTATTCCCATAGTTCCCGTCGTGTCTGCCTGCCGGAGTTTCTCTGTCTGTCTGTCTGTCTGTCTGTCTGTCTGTCTGTCTGTCTCTGTCCTTCTGTGTCTCTCTGTCTCTGCCTCTCTATGTGTCTCTGTTTCTCTGCCTCTGTCTCTGTGTGTGTGTGTCTCTCTCTCTGCCTCCTTCTCTGTCTCCCTCACTCCCTCCTTCCCTCCTTCTCTCTCTGTCCTGGGGATGGAACACAGGGCCTCAGATATGCTGGGCAAACACCCCAACCCGGAGCTCCTGCTGGCCCACCACTGATCCGCATGGGACACTTCTGCCCCCGCCCCTCGCATAGACAAGCCCGGCTGCTGGTCTTCAGCGTGCCTGCACGCTGGCTTCGCAATCCTGTAGGGAAGCATCTTAGCTCCCCTCCCCCGCCTGAATGTCCTACAAGCCTGCAGTGAGCTCTGCAGGCCACTGCCTCACTTGCAGTGTCTCTAAATGACAGCGTGCAGTGGCTCTGCCCATCAGGAGGCCTCCTGAGGGGCCTGGCGCTGTTCCTAGTGCAGCAGCCCGGGCCACGTGGCCCGTGTGTCTGGTCACTCAGTAGCAGTTCTCTGAGCTCCGCTCTGGGTGCTGGGTTAGTGTTGGCAGTGCTGCAGGGAGACTCATGGACCATTCTGAGCCAGGAGAGCGGGCCGAAAGGAAGCGATGGGGATGAAACCAGGCTGGGGTATGGGGAGGAGAGAGAAGAGCAGCCAGGCCTGGGGTGCGCACCTGTCAGCTCAGCGCACTGCGGGCCTGGGGCGGGCGGATCACCAATCTGAGCCCAGCCTGGGCAATTTAATGACTTGGCAAGAGCTGTTGGAAAAAAAAAATACAAGGTTTTCTAAAAGGGCTGGGGACGTACCCTGGTGCCTCCTAAGCGCATGTAGATGTGACTCGAGGTGCTGTGGGTCGAGCGTGCTGTCTTCACATGCCTGGGCAGTAACCTTTGTGTAGGATCTGGAGGCGAGAGACTCAGAGACACACAGGGCCAGGCCTCAGAGGCAGGGTGGAGCCGGCAGCGTGACGGTGGGCGCAGGGTCCGCGCGGGCCCCTCTGCAGAGCTGGCCCTGCACAGGCACGGATTTCCAGCACTTTCCTGTTGCTGTGTTTGCCATTTAGAAAGTGCCCTAAAGGCCACCAGGAAGGGGAGGTGGCTGAAAAGAAGGGCTCACATGCTTGTTGACAGATCTGTCCTGACACTCATCCCGCTGATTGACTGACCTCCTTGAAAAACATGTGCATTTCACAGATGGTGGCGGAAAAAAGAAGAGTGCTGTTTTGAATCAAAGAAGTACTTGCTTCCCCTTTATTTTGGGAACTACCCAGGGCCAGTTTCAGAAAGAGGTGTGGCTGTCCTTTAGGCTTCTTACCTAGCAGAGGAAATGATGGACAAGGCCAAGTCCCCAGGCCAGCTGGGAGCCCGGGAGGGGTGGGGGGACCAAGCGTGTGCCCAGGGGCAGCCTCAGGGTGGTGGGGGCCCAGGTCCCAGACAGCTCTGGGGATTAAACTAGCTCCTTCCTGGGACCACCTGATTCACACCCTTTCTCCTCAGTTCAAAATACCTTTCTTTTCTCTGAAGTTCTAAGAATTGGCTCCCAGATTTGGCAGTGCTCCAAAATGGGGCACACCAAGCCCCCAGTGGGCCCTAAAAGAACTTTCTAGAATGTGTCCAGGGAACCACTGCCCTGTAGGACCTTTGATGGAAACCATGACAGATATCTTGTTTTTAAAGTGTGGGCTCAACCTGAGGCCCATGGGATCTGTGAGGTGTAAAAATCAAGTCACCAGCACTGTGTCTGGCGCGGGCCTCCCCCACCACCCCAGCCCCAAGCCTTCCCTGCCTGCTTCTAGAGCAGAGTGCTTAGTGCTGTTGGACTGGTTCCTGGAGTGGCCCTATTGTCCTGCTGTTGCTCACCCTAGTGCACATGAAGCTCCTTCCTGGACCCGCTGCCAACTCTGACACCTGGCTCAGGGCCCTGCTGTCTGAACTCGCGCAGCAGCTCCTTCAGGAAGCTTCCCTGGCACCTGCTTTCCTCTCGCCTGAGTTGGAGCTTTCTTAGGTCTGAGTGACTGTGTGCCTTTGCTTAAATTCATAGCTCTTTGCCACAAAAATATTTAGAATAGCAATTATGACTAGAGACAAAAATTGATGGCCAGTCAATATGGATGGATGAATGGATGGGTGGATAAGCAGATGGATGGGTGAGG